ATTAATAAGTGAAATATGTAAATATATGTGTATAGAGAGAGACCCCCCCCCCCATATTTATTGCCATTCTTTTTTATTTTCTCTATAAATCACTTTATTTTCTTCACTACTGTCAATCACAGATCTCTCCTCCCATTTCCCATATTCTTCAGTTACACCTATATATATACACACACACATAATTTTTCAATTTATTATTTTAATTAATTTCCTCCAGTTCATACAATTACGTACAGGTACTTTTATTTATTTATAAATTCGAATTTCTTCAATTTTTTTTTTCCGGTGAGTTAGTATGAAATTAAATTAGTAACGGTGGTTTTTTGCATGGTATTTTTTGAAAAAAAAAAAAAGAAAAAGGGAAATTAAATTGGGGTTTGGATGGAAATATCAACGGCCGTGATGATTTCAGCCTTGGCGGCAGCTTATTATCTATGGTTCAGATCAATCACGAGGTTTTTAAAGGGGCCCACATTGTGGCCCGTATTAGGGAGCTTACCGGGCCTGATTCAGAACAGCGGCCGCATGCACGACTGGATTGCCGATAACCTACTCGGGGCATAAGTGAATTGATTCAATAATTTATATTTTTCAATATTGGAGATTATATTGATATATTAATTAATAATAGATGTTTTGAAGTATTGAACCGTGATTATATATATTTTTTCTTATATTGCATTTGTTAATTATTTAATTAAAATTATTTAATTAAAATTATTTAATAATAATTAATATGAAAATTATTAATTTATTTAACATATTTATCATTTACACCATAGCTGTATATTATATATATTTATCAAATATGTTGGTTGGCCTAGTGGTAAAGAGTTGCACATTCTTGCCTATTGCCCCGAGTTCAAACCCCAAAATGTGCATTTTTGGACAAAAAAACCGGATATTTTCGGTTTGACCCGCCGGGTCCGGGTCCATGGTCAACGGGTCGGGTCCGGGTCAGACCCGGCCCGTGGCCATGTCTAGGTACCATGCCCAATTGATTTTATTTTCCGTTTTTTAATTGACTTTTGACGGGAATTATCACATCTAGTAACTGTACGGATTTCGTAAAAAAATTCTCGGGTCGGATAGCACATCCGGATTTATATTTACAGCTTCTATCTCGGCCATTAACGGGGAGTACAACGTCCACCGTCTCTATGAACATTATGTTCAGAGTAATTGTCATAGCCTTTAAATCGGCCCTTAATTGGGACAACTATATCCGTCATCTTGACGGGAATCACGTCCGGGGTTATTATTGAAAAAAGAAAAATCTAATTGCATCTAAATCAGCCCATTTAGGTTTGCTAAAATAAACAAGATTATTGAATAAATAAATCAAAACTTGAGCCAACATGCCATAGCTTGAAAGAATGTAAAATTACACATGGCAATTACAAGTTTTTAAATTTTGCAAAATCAAAATCACGTGAATTTTGTTTCAGAAATCAAAGGCAAATGACAACCATAAGAAGAAATCTATCTCTCTTGTTTTCGTTTTAAAAAATCAAAGGCACTCGTCAAAATATTTGTTCTTTTAAAAATCAAAGGATATTCGAGAATAATCTTAGGAAATCTATGTCTCAAGTAGGATATTCCTTATCCTACTTGTTTGAGTTATTTATTATTTTTCTTTATTTTCTTATATTAAAAATATTTATTTTTATTTTTTTATATAAAACTTAATTGTTCAAAATTATGAGAGGGTATAAATTATATAAACATGTATAGTAGTGAAAAAAATTAAAATTTGAGGGGTGGCCGTGGCCTTCACTGGCCCCTTCACTGATTTCCCCGATGTATGCTGATAACGTTTTATAAAATAAATTCCTATTACCACTTGTAAACATATGTTTATATGTGCCGTAGAGATAGAATTTCCAATATTTTATTGTCCAACCAAAATAAATTTATATCTACTTAAACTATGCATGCATGTGCATAATAAAATGAAGTTTAAAAAATAAAATCTGATTGTATGAAAAATTGATGGGAATCAATAATATTTACGTTATGCTTGGTAATATACTAAATACAGAAAATCTCAAGATATATATACATATGTATATTAAATGGGTGTTAAGAGACTATTTTACCCTTCTCATTTGAGGGCATTTTGTGGCTCTGTTGAAATATACTGGGGATGTAAATGAGCCGATTAAATCCCCAATAAATAACATCAAAAGGATGACAAACAAAGAAAAAATATCTAAATCAATCAACTTTTCAACAACATAATTACACCATACAATAATGAAAAATTCATCAAGAAAGCCAACAAGATTTTCAAGAAACCAAGTGGTCAAAATTTATTTAGCTAAATATTTATCCACAATTTATGTTTATAATTTAAATTAATTGTTAATTGAAAAAAATATGATTTATAAATATCTAACCGATTTCAAATGACAGTTTAACTAATTCATGTACGTATATGAAAAATGTACGATTTGAATTTTCACCTAAATCCCTATATAGCCATTGAGGCTATTTTGCGTAGACCACTGCGTAAGATAGATTTTGATAGAAAATTGATGTAGAACCACTTTGATTAGGTTAAACAACAACTTACTGATTGTAGCTTGTGAGGTTCACCAAATATTAAGTTGATCGAAGATGCAGATGATTGTTGCAGACGAGTTTCTATCGTAGACTGTAGGAGAAAATTAATTGATCATAGCCTACTCAGAGTCGGTCCTGAGAATTTCGGGGCCCTAAGCGGAGTTTAACATTATTACTTTGGTTTTTTTTAAATAGTATTTAAATTATATTGTTATTGGTACACATTTTTAACAAATATCTTATGTAATAAACAAACTTTTTTTCTCTTTTATTGAAAATAACAATATGAATTTGAAATATATCAAATACGAACATTAATGTTGTTGGCATTGTAAAAACATCTGATGACATAATGATATATGCATCTATTTCATGCATAAACAACACATTACGGAGAGGGAAAAAAACAATCGTTGATCAAAATTATTAAAAGTACATATATTGATCATTATATTGTTCGTCTCAACCGACAACAGTTCGTTTCAATCTTTTTGTGATATGAATGTTTGGTTTAAGATTTAATTACGTAAAAAAAATTGGCATATACATTTGGATATTAATAACATACTAAGTAATTATATAATTAATTTATAAACAATATTATCTACAAAACACAATATTTAAATTGGTCTTTCTTTATATTTTTTGAATAGTTGAGATTATAAAATATTCTAGGGTTGGAAAAAATTTACCAAATACCGATTACCACGGTATACCTACCACAAATTACCGAACAAATACCGAACTATCGGTTACCACTACATTTGGTACGGTATTGGTACCGTACCATTATTTTACGGTACGGTAGCGGTATTGAATCTTCAATACCATGGTAATACCGTACCGTACCGCAATTTTATATTTTAAAAATTAGTTAATATATATTTTCTTTTATATTGTTAAATAAAAAAAATGTAATTAATAATTATTATAAATAAAACAAAAACAAGAATAAAAATATGATAAATAATATATATATATATATATATATATATATATATATGGATATGGTCATTTTATTATCTTCACATATTTATGCAAATTCATCATTTGCCTCTCGCTAAAGTTGTTTATGTTCACATACTTCTTTAGTTCCAAAGTTCAACCGATCTCTTTTTTTTGGAATACTTTTTTCAACAATTTTCTTCTCCCTTAATTTTTTACCCCTAAGTGCCGAGCCTTTTGTTTCTTTTGCATAGTAGCATATTTTTTTTTTGTTTTTTTTTACTTAAACTACGAAACGTTCTTACTCATTATTAATTTCTATGTATTTCGTATAGATCTCTTAGTAAGCATTAGTTATCTAAACTAAAATTATATTCAAATATGGTTGTATAATGTATATTACCTTAGATTGTTTAATTGTCAACTACATTTGCTTAATTTGAAGCCTTTATGCATTTGTGCATTTATTTAGTATTTATCATAATTATTGTATTATCCGAGTTCGTCAACAAAATGGTGTTGGTAGAGTACCACGTACCGATTATACCGTACCGAAAGTAACGGTATACCGCAATTATTGGTACGGTAACGGTATACATTTTTTCAATACCGCAAGATACGGTAGGTACACGGTATTGAACAAAATATTCGGTAACAGTACCGAAACCACCCCTAAAATATTCCATTAACATATAGTTTAAAACAACATCTAATAAAATATTTAAGAACTTATAAGTTTTGCATAATAAGAATAAGAAATAGAAGATGTTTAGGTAAACTTATTTTAAATATCTGATAAGTTTTTTTCATTTGATGAGTTATTTTAAGAACTTAAGAATTTGGGTCAACTCTGGTCAATCAGTTCGGGTATATGAATTTGAGTCCATCATTATTCATTATCATTTACTTTTGTTATATATACATTTCCATAGCAAGTGGGGGTGGTGTGAGATGCCATTTCTAAATGTCCCTTCAATTTATGGGAGGACATGCATTCCTTGTTTCAATTTGTATTTCATTTCAAATTTCTCTTACAAATAATACTCAAATATAATACACATATATACTACATATATATGTGTGTGTGTAAAATAGTACATAGAATTCATAGGCTATAGGGGCAAAATTGGACGGATCAGTTATAAACTAGTACTTCGAAACACAATCAATTTTTTTATTCGAAAGTAAAAAATTCTTATTTTGTTCCGAAAATTCAAATAAATTGGAACCGAAAATTCAAAAATTAGAACGAGAAAACTTGTTCCAAAATAAAAAACTTTCTGATCGAGAATCTACAGAATATGGGAATTCTATTATTTTTTATTTGGCTATACTATTAAAAAAATACATCATAACATTGGTATTATAAATGTTGTTTGCACATAAAAAAAAATATCAGATATTTTAATCATTTTCAAATTTTAAAATCAGATAGAAAATTGAAATCCCAGTTCCCACATATATTTCAATTTCAATCCAAGAAACAAGATATTGAGCCGTGTGTGATGCACACGCTCCACTGTAAATTACACGGCGGTTGAGAAACAGAATGGCCAACCATTCCAGATAATAAGTCCTGACACGTGTCAACACGCTACGACACCCTCACAAACTCCTCCATAACCAATATCTTTTCCTTTCTCTCTCTCTCTCTCTCTCTCTTGATTTTTGTTATTATTTTTATTATTTGTCAAAAACTCAACCGAAGAGGGAAAATCGTCCGTTTTCTCCTCTCATCCTCCTCGGAATATTATTCCAAATAATTGAAATTGAGTTGCCCTAAAGCAGAAAATTATAAAAAAATTATGGCTTCAGTAGCTGCTTCTTTGTGTTCATCAGCTTTGGCGCAATCTATTTCCGGCGGGTTTAAGGGCCAAAAACTTTCTCTTTCAACTCCCAATTCAATTACTTCTACCAGGTACGTGTTCTTCTTTACATAATTCTGACGGGCAATGTTTTTCTTTAATTTTTTTTAATCAAGATTGAGGGTTTCTTAATTTCTGATGTCGTGTTGCTCAAGCTTTCTTCAATTTATCCGTTTGACTGCTGGTTCCCTTTATTTGGGTTTTGACGTCTATGTGTTTGTGAAAATGCTTCTGTGAAGTTTAGTTGTTCTTAGAGAGAGAATTATCAACTATCTCTTATTTAGAATGCATTTCACAGTAACCAAAAAAAATTAGTTGTACATTCTTTCCGTCACCAAGTAAAAAATCTCTGTCAATTTGATGCTCATAAATCTGGAATTCAATCTTCTTCCGAAAATAAAAAATAAAAAATTAATCCCAAGTGTTACTGGCTTGAAATGTTTTAGCTAGATTTCTTATGTATATTTGCAGAAGAAGATCTCAAGTTGTAGTGAAAGCAACATCTCGGGTCGATAGGTTCTCGAAAAGTGACATCATTGTCTCACCGTCAATTCTTTCCGCTAATTTTGCCAAATTAGGAGAGCAGGTTTACTTTCTGCTTTTTCTTCATGTCCTTCGATCTCGTAAACAAAATTATTTCATATTGCATTGCTATTCTTCATATCAATTTAATCGTATAACTCGCTTCCCTATCGATTAGGTTAAAGCAGTGGAGTTGGCAGGTTGCGATTGGATTCATGTTGATGTGATGGATGGTCGGTTTGTTCCAAATATTACAATTGGGCCCCTAATAGTTGATGCACTACGCCCTGTCACGGATCTCCCATTGGATGTGCATTTGGTACTTTAATATTTTTGTGATGTTAAATTTACGAATGCCGTTGCAATTTTTTAACAATGTAAAAGCACTGCAGATGATTGTGGAACCTGAGCAGCGAGTACCAGACTTCATTAAGGCTGGAGCTGATATTGTTAGTGTTCATTGTGAACAATCTTCAACCATCCATTTGCACCGCACAGTCGATCAAGTAAGCTTCGACTAACTTGACAAATCTTTTAATTTTTCCTTTTAATAGCAAAGTTATTTTATTACTTAATCTACGGCACGATCTATATTATTTTCATGTGTGAGTCTTGATCATATTATTAGGTTTCTTTGACTGGATAAACACGTACATCGTAGATTCACCTCTTTTCACAGTGTGATAATAGCAAATTAGTGCAAATTATATTTTTGGTTGCTAAGATGAAGGAAATTCTTACCTGCATCTTTTTATATTTAGTGTTTCCGAGACAATAATTCGTAAGGTTGGAATTTATTTCTGTGTTATACATTTGAATTAACACTCTTTTGGTGCCTTCGTTAGATAAAAAGTCTGGGTGCTAAAGCTGGAGTTGTACTGAACCCTGGAACTCCATTGAGTGCCATAGAGTATGTTCTTGAATGTAAGTATTTTCCTTTGTTAAGTAAAATAATTTCGTTAGAATTTGCTCCTTATAGTTGGCATGAAAAAAAATCAACTCGAAAAGTATGTGACTGTTACATTCGAATAAACATGTTATTACAGATGAAGTGACTCGAGTCAAGAATATAATAGACGATGAAATATGAGCTGAGATAATGTTTGATGTAGTGAATTCACATTTGTTTTCCTTCGAATTGATTAACAGCGGTTGATTTGATACTGATTATGTCCGTGAACCCGGGATTTGGTGGGCAAAGTTTTATAGAGAGCCAAGTAAAGAAAATATCAGACTTGAGAAAGTTGTGTGCTGAGAAGGTAGTCTACTTATTCCCCTATTTGCTTCACCTTGTCCACAAAGCTTGAGGAATTCTCATTCTTGTGTTTTGCTTTACAGGGAGTGAACCCGTGGATCGAGGTTGATGGTGGAGTTAGTCCTAAAAACGCTTATAAGGTCAAAACTCAAAACTCTCTCATATCGTGCTTATATTCTCGAAAAACGATGCTTTTGTTACATACTTCGTGTGGATTTCTTATATAGATAAATATATATGCTAATCTTCTAGTAATTTTATTTTCCTAGATTAAGTTTGTATTACTCGAGTGAGTGAAAATTGGAAATCTTAGGCTATGTTTGGAAAGTTTTTGGGAATCAATTTCATATAATTTTGGGAGTTGATGTATGTTGAGTAAATGATTTGATACAAAAGTAATGTTTCTTCGTACTCTAATTGTAGATTGCAAGACGAGATATTTTTTTAATGTAGCTGCCCAAAGTGTTGAAATTAAAGGGTTTTTTTTTTCTTTTCTTTTTTTCGTGTATGCTAGTGAAAATATATTGCTGGTGTAGTTGTCAAAACATGTCAGTTTCGAAAATGAATCCAACTGCTTTCCAAATACTAAATGATACATATTCGGGGCATTTGACGACTTCAAATGTTGAGTTATCAACCAGAATATCTGGTTTTACCTATACCTATACCTATTTTTAAATTATTTTTTTTCGTTAGTTGATTTAAGATTTTTTTTCCATATATGTTTATGCTACACAAAGTAGGAAGTGGGCTGGTTTTAATTAGCTAAAATATGAACAGGTAATTGAAGCTGGTGCAAATGCATTAGTTGCTGGCTCTGCTGTTTTTGGAGCTCCTGATTATGCTGAAGGCAAGCACAAAATTAATTCAATCATAGTTTAATTCGACCATTAGTACTCGGGGGTTTTTTCCTAACTTTTTTTCGTGTACAATGTAATTTTTTTTGTTGGCAGCTATTAAGGGGATCAAAACGAGCAAAAGGCCTGTCGCTGTTGCGGTATAAACTTTCCGTTTGAAGACAATTTTAGGGTTCAAATACCTCTCTTTTAAGGTAGTCAGTCGCCTTACTAATCATTGATATATACGTTTATGTGTTTCTTGATCTTTTTATCGCTGTAATAAAAATATGTAAAAAAGCAATGACAGTGTGTATATCATGACAAATTCATTTGGAATGTGATTTTATCAACTATTCGAGCAGTAGAAGCACGTTTCAGAAGCTAACCCGACTCGAATTGCATCGCTTTTTCTACATTATGATATTATTTATTTGTTTTGCAGAGAACATATGCTGCGAAAGCGTTTGGAGAGATTCATCGAAATGAATTGATTTGTTCTCGTAAAAAAAGCTTGAGCTTTAATTAGAAATGGCCTGAGAGTTAATATCTGTAGCATAATTTTGTGTAATAAAGATTCATCTTTCAGTACACTTTTTGTTTTGTGTGTACAAATGTATGTGTTATAATACCCCTTGATCAAGAATCTTCTGAAAAATCAGTCTTGTGCTATATATATATATATATATATATATATATATATATATATATATATATAGTATAAAAATGACATCAGCTTTCTTATTACCAAATTAAGCAAACAAGATTATGGTGTTACAGTCTCTTTCGACAAAGGAACCCGTAAACTAATTCTTTCTCGTGCGATAGTCAAACCAACCATGAATTGTGACCCCTTATAAAAACCATAGTTCATACAGGTCATTGCGTAAAAGAATAGCTCGGATTATCCATACCCGAATTCAACAACTCATTGTAACATTTTTGAGCTGATGCAAAATAAGCCATCTCACCATAACCTTTTTTCAATACCTTATACAAGAAAGCATTCGGCAAAACACCCATCTTCACCATATCCGCATGCACCATCATCGCCGGAAAAACGTGCTTCACCCCGAAATCCCCTTGTACAATAGCACCATAATCACACACTTCTGGCGTCAAACCGCTCTTCCTCATATCCGAAAAGAATTTACTCGCCTGAAAAACCCGACCGTTCTTGCACAACCTGTTAATCAAGATCGAATACGTAATATCCCCACAAAACCCGTATCCACTTTGTTCCAAGAAGAAATTAATTGCATTGTTAATCCTCCCATCTTTGCACAATCCATCCACCACACAACTAATCGTGAAAACATTCGGATAAATACCAGCATCCATCATTTCTTTGTACAATTGAAGAGCTGCATCGGTATACCCATTCTTGAAATGGCCATCAATCAAAGAAGTATAAGCTACAACATCCGGCTTATAGCCTTTAATCGCCATTTCATAGTAAAGTCCCATAGCAGCACCCAAATCTCCGACTTTGCAATACCCGTTTATCAGTGTACAAAAAGTTACAATATCGGGTTTTAATCCCTTCTCGGTCATTTGAGTACAAATTCCCACAGCTTTCTCCATACTTCCTTTCTTACAGTACCCATCGATCAATGTATTATACACAACAGAATTTGCCACCAATTCCGTTTCTTTCATCTTACGAAATAAATTCTCCGCATCTTCGACTCTACCGATTCTACAGTATCCCTTCATAAGTACGCCATACGTAACAACATCTGGAGAAATACCGAATTTCTCCATCTCCGAATACATGTCCGTTGCAGCAGATAAATCGCCACCTTCACAGAAGCCGTCCAATAAGCAATTATATATGTATACATTCGGAACGACGTTTAGCTTCACCATATGCACAAAATAGCTCCTAAAAGCCCAAATTTCGCCCGTTTTGCAAAGAAGATATATCAAAATACTATATGTGATAAAATTCGGCAGCACCCCTCGATCCAACATTTCATAATAGAACTTGTGCACTTTATCAATACTGACCATTTTGGCATATCCATCCATTAGGGCATTGTAAGTGTAGAGATTAGGGACCACGCCAGAGCCGCGCATTCTTGCGAAAACGATTTCTGCTTCCGACATATCACTCTCTGCACATAGTCCGCGTATGAGCGTCGTGTAAATCACAACTGTCGGTTTTAATCCTCTCTGGGTCATTTCATCGAACAGCATCCGCGCCTTCTTGATATCCCCACGACCACAAGAAGCATCAATTAGTATTCCGTAAGTTACCTCACTAGGCAATAAACCATTCGAAACCATGTCATCGTAAACTTCCCACATGAATTCATTTCGACCGGACTTCAAAATACCGTTCAACAGCACATTGCACGCCTGCACCGCGGGCAGTTTTCCGATCTTGCGGTACACCCAATACCCCTCGTCGGCGAAACCCTTTTCGCACAAAGCACTGATCAGCACTCCAAACACGTTGGTGCTACACCCCGACGCCTGAATTTGATTGAGCGCATTGAAGATCGAGGAACAAACTTTGTGGGGTTTACGGGTTTTTCTCAAAATCTCGATGAGGTCTTCTATCAAACACCTTGCCTTCACGTACAATTTCGCCTTGGTTAAAAAGTGAACAATGGCGGAATGGAGCTTCAGGGTTTTGGCGGGGTTCACATTTCTTGAGGCTGAGTTGAAAATTCGTAGCGCTTGCAATGTGGTTGGTGAATCGAGTATCGATGCGGATAGATTTGAAAGATATGGGGATGAAGAAGTAGGCGATGATGGCGATGCAGAAGAGGAGAATAAAGCTAATGAAGATGGTCCATTATTACAATTGGAAAGATGCTTGATGATTTTTGGAGGGAGAAACTTCAACATTGGTACACTGATTTCTTGTTTTCCATTAACTACAACTTCTGCATCGACAAAGACAACCGGCAACCAAATTTTTGATGAACTTGTAATATATTTTTGGGCAAATTACGGCCACCCCTGATGTATGGTCAAATTACGAAAAAACCCCTCTTGTTTGGATAATTACAGCCACCCCTCCTTTTAAATATTTTTATGTAAAATTTATGTAATTCGGTTATTTACCGAACCAAATCGTATATTTAGTTCGGTAAACGGTATGAAATGCTGGCGTACCGAAATTTTTGTCCGTTTTTACTGAATTAACATCCCTAAATTTACCTCTGGAGGGGTCTTTTCGTAAGATAAATACATAGTTGAGGGGTGGCTGTAATTACCCTAACAGGAGGGGGGTTTTCGTAATTTGACCATAGCTCAAGGGGTGACCGTAATTTGCCCTATATTTTTTGTTCTTAATATATAATAGTGTATGAGGGGTTTTATTGTAATATCATCACTTAAGAAGGTGTTAATCTTAATTTTTTTTTTGTAGCTCTTCACTAATTACTGGGTTCAAATTATGGGCGAATTTAGCACTTTCGAAAAAAATACCGGTCTTGTTTTAAAAAAAGAATTCTTATTCTAATCTCGTTCCAAAATAAATAAATTAATTAATTAAAATCAGAATTACAAAAATTGGAATGAAAAAAAGTTTGTTCCACCATAATTTTTTGAGTGAGTTTCACTTTCTCCCATTGTACTTTGACTCGATATCACTTTACCAATTTCTACATTCGATTGCATCGATTTGCCCCATGTACTTGAAAAATTGTCTCAATGTGGCATCGCCGTTTCAGGAGGACGGACTGTGGATTTCCTCTTTCGCTCCGAAGCGGTTTGTCGTACACGAGCATCTTCTACAAAAAAAAAACAAACAACAATTACATTTAAAAAAAATTAAAAATTTAAATTTCGACATCCTGAAGATGTCGATTTCTGACCATACATATCGACATTTTGGTGTCGATTTTTATTACTGTTTCTCGACATCTTGAACATGTCGATTCCTGACTATAAAAGACGACATCTTGGCGTCGATTTTTATTGTTAGAAATCGATATCTTCAAAATGTCGAGAAACAGTAATAAAAATGGTCATGTGTCGAAATATAGCAGCCAAATTCGGCCTGCAAATGTCGAATTTTCCCTTTCAAAAACGACATGAGAAGATGACGAAGGAATATGAATCAAAAAAGATAAAAAATCTGCCCTCCAAACAACAATTTATTAACAGAAGCTTCTTAATGTCATTTTAACAAAATAAAACTACGGATTTATCGAATTTAAATAACCCTTTTCGAAATTTTCAATCAAAGTTGAAAAATACTGGCAGCGTTGGCGTTGTTGGGTGGGTTTAGGTCGCTCATGATTGTGAGCGGCAGGGCTGGCGGCGGGGATCGGTGGCTTGCGGCAGCGGAGCTTGGGCGGCACAGATATGGTGACAAGAAAGAGTTGGGGGGGGGGTTTGGAATTTTTTTACTTTAATTTAATTTTACGTTTTTTTTTAATTTTTTGTTTTGTTATTTGGTCTTGGATGAACAAACAAAAGTCAATTTAATTTATGGATATATTTGTTATTTCATCTTAATAAAATATAATATTTGGAATATTTTTTTAATTTAATCCTGCGCGATTGAAATTAGTATTACATATAGAATCTGCGACTTCTCGTCAACATCTCAGTAATATCACATTGCTTCCTCCGATAGTCTTTTAAAAATACTTCTCAACTATCCCCATTATGTTGATTTCTTCCCTTTAGTTTAAAAGCACAATAATATGGACAAGATTAGTATATTTTTTGTAATGAAGGACCTATTAATAAAAATACTTTTTTATCTGGAACATATTTGCAAGATTATTAATTTGAGAGTAAATTGCATATCAACCCCTATAAATATCTGATTTTCACATTTTACCCCCTTCAAATTTAAAAAAGTTAATGTCTTCTTCAAAATATTATTCTTGTTGCACGTTGCCTCAATGGAAAAATCCTGATGGATTATTCACTGGAATTGAGTATCTATTTTTATTACACGTTACCCCTTTAAATGTATTTTTGCTCCACAAGACCCCTTAAAAATATTATTTGTCTGCATATTGTCGCTTTAAAATGTTATTTTTGGTTCACATTGCCCACCAAAAATTAGTTTTCGGGCAACGCGCAGTCAAAAAAATATTTCAAAAGGGGTTATCCCTTTTTGGAATTTTTAGGGGTGAGAGTGTGAAAATGGAATTTTTTTTAAGGGTGAATTGCATTTTGTCCTTAATTGATGGGCTTATGCGTAATTTCACATAAAAACAAAAAAAAAAAAAAACAGCACACGCATCGTTGTTCGTGTTCCGTTCTCACACGTATTCTTTATCCCCTCCTCCATTCTTTCCCTCTCTAAACCCTTCACCACAAGCTACCCATTTTCATACAAATATACGTACACACACATATTCAACACATTCAACTACGTGTATACACACACACACACACACACACACAGCCCGTACGTACGAAGAAGGAAACCAAAAGAGAATGGCGGTGACGGGAGAAGATAGATCCGAGATAGCATTCTTCGACGTGGAAACAACAGTCCCGACCCGACCCGGACAGGGTTTTGCCATTCTGGAATTCGGATCCATTCTGGTATGCCCCAAGAAGCTCGTGGAGCTCCACAATTACTCGACCCTGATCCGACCCGCCGACCTCTCACACATCTCTTCTCTCTCAGTCCGATGCAACGGCATTACTAAAGACGCCGTCGTTTCGGCCCCCACTTTTGCTGATATTGCTGATTCCGTCTACGAAATCCTCCACGGTAAAGCTTCCGATTTTCACTCCCCTCCCCCAATTTCTAGACAATTTGCTGGTTTTTTTTTTTTTTTTTTTTTTTTTTTTTTTGCAATTGAATTTGTGGTTGGATAATTATAAACTGTTCATATTAGCTGATTTTGAAGGATGCATTTTTTTTTTTCTGTTTATTAATTTCATAATCATAAATTAAAAAAAAAAAAAAAAAACTGTGAATTAATTGTGTGCTAGTAGGTAAATGACATGCTCTATTCTGGTTACTCATTACATATAGATATATAGTTTGTATATTATATTGAAAGGGTCAATTACGGCTACCCTGAGGTAAGATTAAATTACGAAAAAACGCCTCATGTTTGGATAATTACAACCATCCATTGACTATGAATTTTCTTACACGTCTACCCTTGCGGTGTCAAATTTAGTGGAATTTTCTAGATTATGTGGAATATTTTACTGTTTCTACTCGTTCGAGCTCCACATTTTGAAACAAGATGATCGTAAAATGTGTCTGTTGGCTTGTAAATATTAGATTGTGATGCATCAGAAACTGTATTTTTGCATCAAACGAGTACAAATTAAAGAATATTCCACGGAAGAAGATTCTGTTAAATTTGACACTATAAGGGTGGACGTGTAAAATGATTCATAATTGGGGGTGGTTCTAATTATCCAAACATGAGAGTTTTTTTTCGTAATTTGAACTTACCTCGGGGGTGGCCGTAATTTATCCTATATTGAAATTATCAGCAGTGGCCTATAGAAGGTGAAATACCCTCTTGTCCCTATTTCCTTCCTCGGATGCTTTGGTGCAATTGCTCGTTTCTTGGAATGATGATGCTGAAATCACTATTTTATTCCTATCTTCATGTAAAGGTTTAACTTTTTTACGATTAGTTATGAATAAGATTTAAGGCATTTAGCAGATTACGGACAAGTTCTACGATTAAAGAAATTAATTAGAACTCTAGTTGTCGTAAAAGGAATCATTTCGTTGCAAGTACCTGCAAATTTTATTATTAGTTCAATTGCAACTTTTACTGTTTATTTTTTATTGCAACTGTTTTCCATTTTGATGCCTTATGGTGGTTGTATGAGGAAATAATTATTCGGGAAAAAGGGTCGTCCTTTCATTTGCATAAGTTTGATTTAAGGATATTATGGTCCTAATGATTTTGTTTTGGAAATTTCTCGAGAGACTTAGCTTTTAAGGTGATTTAGGATATACTGTTTTTCTGTATTTTATTATAATTTTGGCTCCAGCTTCTTTTCTGTAGGTTTTTGATATTTTCGGTGCTACTATATAAGTAATAATCTTGTTACGTTTCGTGCACAGGAAGAATATGGGCAGGTCATAATATATTGAGATTCGATTGCGCCCGTATAAGAGAGGCATTTGCTGAGATTAACAGGCCAGCTCCAGAGCCTAAAGGAACTATTGATTCACTTGCACTCTTAACACAAAAGTTTGGAAGGAGAGCTGGCGACATGAAGGTAATCTCGTTTGAAAATCGAGCATTTTATTTATTTTATTTTATTTTATTTTATTTTTTTTTTTTTTTTTTTTAAATTCCCCTGCTTCATGAAGAGAAAAGACAATGGCTGTAACCAATATTTGCTGAAATGTTTTCAGTTTTCTTGCATCGTGAACCATTGGGCCTCGTGCGTCTTATGTTTCTAAAAATCGATTTTATGAGCATGCTGGGATTTATATATTTAAATAACGACGCTGAGACTCTTTTGCAGATGGCAACTCTCGCAACATATTTCGGGCTTGGCCAGCAAACACATAGGTAAGGGTGTTTGTTTCAAATCTAATCTATCACATGTTTTTTTTCAGTGTTATATAATTTAGTCGGTTTGTTTTATGAAATTGCAAACTTCAAAGAACTTATCGCTCGTCTGTCTTTCTTCATACAGAACTTAAGTTTCAGTAATATTTTTAATTTAAACGTTCCAGGAGTTTGGATGATGTTCGCATGAATCTCGAAGTCCTCAAGTACTGTGCAACTGTTCTATTTTTGGTAATTCCCCAATTTCATAGATTTTATACAATGAATCCAAGTTTCGTAAATCGAACATCGTCATCTTTTTAGTTTCGTACTTATCAAATTTGATCTAATTTCCTGTTCCTCGTCTTTTTATTTGTAGGAATCGAGCCTCCCAGATATATTTACCGACAACAGCTGGGTTTCTCCCAATGCCACCACGGGAAGTCGAAGCAACGGAAAAAGTCGCATCGAGCACGCCGGGCAATCATCATCGTCAAATGCCAAGGTCGATCATCGTTCAGAATCATCTCCACCACAGCACACAGTAGAGAAAAACCATCCAATACTATCGTTGGCGACACGCGAAACTGATGATGTAAATTCCAATACTTTTAATTTGTCGGCAATCGGTGATCAAATGGACAACATGGAAGAAGATTTAAAAAACGGCCCAACATCTCAAGAATCTCCAAGTAGAGTAGTTCTCGAGCGTTCGGATAACGACTTCTTGGAGCCCGACGATGTTTCGATACCTTCGATTTCTGTTACCCTAGCCCCATTTTATCGCGGGACTCAAAGAATACAAATACTGCACCTGAATTCGCCGTTGCAAATTCAGTGTGCATCGCTGAAGGTTCGGTTCGGGATCAGTACGAAGTTTGTCGATAACGCCGGAAGGCCAAGATTGAGTTTTGTGGTCGACGCGTCACCGTCTCTATGCAAGATTCTCGATGCAACCGATAGTCTTGCCAAAGAGTTGTCCGTTAATTCCGGTAGCTCGTCCGAGTGGCGACCTGTTGTAACTAGGAAGCAGGGTTTCTTCAACTCCCCTACCGTCAGATTACAGTAAGTTTCTCTTCTTTTTAACTTGTATTAACAGTTTTTTTTGGGTAAATTACACCTACACCCCTGTGGTATGCTAAAATAACATTAAGGTCCCTGTGGTATTGGTAATTACAGCCATACCCCTGGAACAATTACCGGAGCCAAGATTTCATGTCCTGGGGACCAATATGCACTATATTTGTTTTCCGTGGGGCCGTTAATGCTACCATAGACGAAAAAATTATAAATCATATATAAAATAATAAAGATTTAAGAAATGTTGAGGGAGCCATGTCACCCCTTAGCTCTATGTTGTCTCCGCGCTTCCTGAAACTAATAGTCCGTTAATTATTTCGTTAGGGTTTGTAACAATGTTTCAGGGGGTCTTTGTAATTATCGATACCACAGGGACCTTAAAGTTATTTTAGCATACCTTAGGGGTGTAGTTGTAATTTATCCTTTTTTTTGGGCTTATATAATATTTACTCTGATTGAAGATTGACTTTGACTGTGTGTAAATGCACCAGCCTGCCGACTGTAGCGGATGGTGAAAGCAGCAGATGGGCGACAGATATATACGAGAAGGAGAATTCATCAACACAGAAGGTTGTGTTTAGTAACAGGAATGAAGTAGACGAGCTTTCTTCACTACTCACCCCGGGGAATATTCTGGACGCTTGTTTCGCATTGGATGCCTACGATTATCAGCAGAATGCTGGCATACGATTGGTCGCCAAGAAACTCTTTGTTCATTCAGGCTGATATACAAGTGGCTAGCTGGTTATAAATTCTAATTGTTTGTGATCGATATAAGTTAATTCGGAGAAAAAAAATGTCGTGTTGAATCGTAAAGATGCTTAGGTTTAACCCCTTATGCTGTAAATGTTGGGATAATTCTTCTATATTATTCACTTTCTTTCCTTCACACGAGAATTTCCTTGATTTTCATTGTTTACAAGCTGAACAAGAATTAGTCACCTCTTAGTAGTATAATTACTATTTCTCAACTTCAATAATACCAATAATAGGTATTAAGTACAGGTAAACCTTTATAAATCGATAAATTTATACAGTTAATACAGTCAGGACTAGCAAAATTTTATTAATTTAATGAAATATTAAATTATCGAACTATTAATTTAATAGGTATTCACCGAGTCAAGATTGGGAAAAATTATTATTTAAGTGAGGTTATTAACTTATCGAGGTTATACGGTATTGTTTATTAATTGTAAGTACACCCACTTCAACCCTCGTTTGGTTTTAATTATATGATTAATTAAGACAAAATTATGTAATTTTATGAGAATCTAATTATTGCACTAATAAAAAAATATAAGACCTAATTATTTGATTAATCATGGCTTATGTAGTTTATAGTGTGCTATTGAGTTCACTCTAAATTGTCATCTACGAACACCTTTTTTGATTTTCTTTCATGTTAGCCTTATTAGTAATTGTACCCGTGCGAGTAAGGATATAAACAAACTTTTGATGTATCGTATGATCAAAAGTCTATTATAATTATTCATTAATAATTCATCAGTGGAACATTATTAAGTATACTATTGAAACAAAAAAACCAAAAAAACAAATAATTTTACTGTTGAATAATTTTCCAAATGATTTGAGTCAGCTAATATCAGTAGATTGAAAAATTGAACCAGGAATAAAATCATCAACTATGTCTTTCATGTTAAGCTTAAAAGTAATTAGATTTAATAACTCAGTTAACCTAATCAAAACGAAACTATCGACAACATACCAACGTAAAAGGCCATCTATACATCTTGCATCATAATTAAGCCCTTCTCCACAGCCTCGAATTGGTCCTGTTCTGCCACCGGAATTAACAATTGGGAAACAAAAATAAATATAAACTAAAAATTAAATATCGCATACAAACAATAAGTCTTGAATGCCGACTACTAATAGCTTGTGGCTCCGCCTATTTTTGCTTAGTTCTCTCCAATCATCCATTTCAATAACATGTCTGATGATGCTAAAGTTAGATCACCTTAGATAGTTGAAGTATGATGAGCTGGAAGAGCAGAGTGGATCACTGGCTCACGAGCTTGATGACCTTGAGATACCTGCGATCATAGGACACGTGAACTAAGCCGGGGGTTGATCCGACGGAAACCCCTCCGACGCTCAAGTCAGACGTGCGGATAGTGGAAATAGTCCAGAGAATACATATTATAGTATTGCTCAGTTAATAGGACGTACCTGAAAGAATGAGTTCAAACCTTTATTTATAGCTTAGTTGAGATTGTCGGGCCCAAACCTTACTTGAAGGTGATTGGGCCTCGGTGATAGTGGTCTTCGATATTGGGCTCGTGGCCCAGTAGGTAAATAATTTGTAGGCCCATTGGGTTGGACCAATTAGGCATATCATTAAGCCCCCCATTTTCGAGTCGATGTGGGGGCCATGTTGAAATGGGTGTCAGATCGTATCGAGAGTAAAAAATGTAGAAGTCGATCGTTGGCGTATGGCCTAATAGTGTGCGAAAACTCGTTGGAGTGTGTGTCGGAGGGGCGTGAAGGCGTGTTGGCGCGTAGCGCGACCAAGCTGTCGCGATATAAGTTACTTGAGTCGTCGGTGTTGTCCCGCGGCGATGTAGTAGCTCGGATCAAGTTATCTCCTCGTGGGAGTTGTCTCTTCGCGGGGTAATCAAGTTGATCGAGTTTGCTCCTCGTGGGAGTTGTCTCGCGATAATGTAGTAGCATGGAGCGAGTATTCTCCTCATGGGAGTTGTTATTTATCGACATTGTCAATGTTTTGACGCGTTGCTTGTATGTGTTTACATATAGCCTGAAGCGTGATGTACTTGAGGAAGGGATCAGGCTCTCAAGATTTTTTTTATGGGGATCGTGCCCCTTGTTAGACCTCGTGGGTCGTAAGTATTTTTTGGACTGTGGCCACGTTTTAATGGAGGACCCATCGAAAACAAGTAGATAAATTTTGAGTAATCAAGCTGGCCTGGCTATCTAGATTCCCATAATATCTCTAAGTGTTTCTAGGGTTGTAATCGTGCTAACTTGAGCTTGTGATTATATAGTGAATTTCGGGCGAGCTGTCTCCTCATGGGAGTTGTCTCACAGCGAAGTTATAGGAGCATTGGACGCGCGACTGGGGAGCATGCGGATTCATGTCGCTCTGAGCGAGTAGTCTCTTTGTTGGAGTTGTCTCGCATCGAGTCTTATTACCGAGCGAGGTAGCTCCTCGTGGGAGTTGCCTTGCAACGGGTTCGTAGTGCCGAGTGATTTGGCTCTTCGTGGGAGTTGTCTCGCCGCGGGTTGGTAGTACCGAGCGAGTTGTCTCCTCGTGGGAGTTGTCTCGCTGTGGGTTGTAGGACCGAGCGAGTTGTCTCCTCGTGGGAGTTATCTCGCTGTGGGTTGTAGGACCGAGCGAGTTGTCTCCTCGTGGGAGTTGTCTCGCTGTATGTTGTAGGACATAGCGAGTTGTCTCCTCGTGGGAGCTGTCTCGATGTGCGTTGTAAGACAGAGCGAGTTGTCTCGATGCGGGTTGTATGACCGAGCGAGTTGTCTCCTCGTGGGGGTTGTCTCGCTGTGTGTTGTAGGACAAAGCGAGTTGTCTCCTCGTGGGAGATGTCTCGCTAAGTGTTGTAGGACAGAGCGAGTTGTCTCCTCGTGGGAGTTGTCTCGCTGTGGGTTGTAGGACCGAGCGAGTTGTCTCCTCGTGGGAGTTATCTCGCTGTGGGTTGTAGGTGATAAGTGTTCATTTTGCATGATTTTCACTTATCAATTCTTCAAGTTTTGGTCTTCGTTCGTACGAGTTTTCGGCTTTATTTGTTTATATTATGCGTTTCTTGTTTTATTTATATTTTCAGGTTTTGTTAGCTATTTTTGCCGATTCGAAACGATTTTGAAAGCGAAGCCGAGAATCAAGTCAAACAAGAGCAAAAATTGCAATCAAGTGGATGGTGGCAGCATTCGGTATTTTATGCATAACTTCTTCATACGACCTCCGATTGAGCTGCTTCAAATGGATTTAGAAAGCCAACTGCAAGGGCTACAACTTTTGTGAAATGCAAAATTGTCAAATTCGGGCTCCAAAAGGGTCAAAATAGAGTTTGAAGTTATTGCAGCGACCATATCGCGATATTACCTTCCATATCGCGATATGGGAGAAAACGAAACAGAGAGCTTGCATTTTTGCCATATCGCGCGATATGCCATTCCATATCGCGATATGGGGAGAAACGAAACAGAGAGCTTGCAATTTTACCAGATCGCCCGATATTGCCGCTCATATCGCGATATGGGCCTTGGGATGCGTAAAAAATATCTTAAAAGGCAAAGCATACTATAAATAGATCCCTTGTGTCATTTAACAAGGAGGGACTTCTTCGAGGACTTCACTCTTCGACTCTCTTCGACTTCTTCTTCGGTTTTCTCTTCGGTTCTCGCCAGTTCTTCGCGGGAAGCTTCGACGAGGGTTTCGACTCGGGTTTTTCATAAGCTTTTTCTTTACGTTTAGTTTATGATTTCTCGTGTTCTTCATTTTGAAGCTATGTTTGTAATGAACTAAGCATTTTCTTTTAGGGAAATGAAACCTTGTATATATTGATTTTGATTTCCAGATCTGTGATCTATTTGTCGTTCTTTGATTCTGTTTATGTTTTCCTGTATTAAATGCTTTCGATTGTTTGGCCAACAGTTGAATTGATTGTAAATGGGAATGAACTCGAGAGAGGATTTCTCGTTTGATTTTAGGAAAACATAGCTCGGGTTGTGGAAACGGAGACGTGATGCACCTCGGGTAGCCCTTAAGGACTTGACCTAAATGCTCTCTTAATATCAGGTTCTGAACGGAGACGTCGGACCTGTGGGTAGACTCTAACTACACTGGAGACGGGGGTTAGGGTATTTTAGTGTCTGGGTTAGCGAACATAGAATTGACAATAGATTCGGATTTGTAGATCTTTATCGATAGTACACTGGTGGATTTTACCCTAGAAGCCATCACACGTCGGAATTCCTCGCTTTTACTGGCGGACCGTTGTTTTTATTTATTGTTTATTTTTAGTTTTATTTATCCCATCCATTTTCGTTCGTCTAGATAAAGTTTAGGATAGTATAATTGGGGTACTTGGTAGATTTAGGAACTTAATTCCCTGTGGATCGATATCTGGAATTCACTATTCTACAAAACGCGATACTGTACACTTGCGGTTATTCATACGTAGGTTTTACGCGTATCAGTAGGACCGAGCGAGTTGTCTCCACGTGGGAGTTGTCTCGCTGCGGGTTGTAGTACTGAGCGAGTTGGCTCCTCGTGGGAGTTATCTCGCTGTGGTTTCCTAGACCCGAGGGAGTTGGCTCCTCGTGGGAGTTGCCTCACAAGGGGTTTGTAGGACGGAGCGAGTGGTCTCCTCGTGGGAGTTATCTCGCTGTGGTTTCGTAGACTCGAGGGAGTTGGCTCCTCGTGGGAGTTGCCTCGCAACGGGTTATAGGACGGAGCGAATGGGCTCCTCGTGGGAGTTATCTCGCTGTGGTTTCGTAGACCCGAGGGAGTTGGCTCCCCGTGGGAGTTCTCTCGCTAGGGGTTCGAAGTAACGAGCGAGTTGGCTTCTTGTGGGAGTTGCCTTGCAACTGATTTGTAGTGCCGAGCGAGTTGGCTCCTCGTGGGAGTTATCTCGCTGTGGTTTCCTAGACCCGAGGGAGTTGGCTCCTCGTGGGAGTTGCCTCGCAAGGGGTTTGTAGGACCGAGCGAGTTTGCTCCTCGTGGGAGTCTTGTAAGCCCCCCACTCTCGATTCGATGTGGGAGTCGAGTCGAAAAGAATACCGGATCGTGTCGAGAGTATATCGGTGTCGTGGTGTACCGATAACTATTGGCGTGGTGTGGAGAAATAATATTTTTTATTTATCCGTTTGAGAGCGCGCGCGAATTGGCGAGGCGC